CAACTGGCTGAGGAGCCATTAGCAAGTGCTCCTTACTGGCTTGGCATCCAACGGGAGGAAGGTCTATAGGTATGTGCTGAAGTGCTGTTAGGTGCTATGCTGTTATAAATGACCTAAAAGAGGGTCTAGAGGAGTTGCTTATCAAATTTGAAGATGAAGCATAGCTAGGAAGGATTGCCCGCACTCTAGAAACAGATTCAGAAGCATCTTGACAGGCTGGAACACTGGGCCAAAATGAACAACTCAAACTCTGTGTTGAGTTTCCAGATAAATGTAAAGTCTTGCATTTTAAGTGCAAAATGTAGTTCAGAATCACATGTAGGAGATCTGGCTTGGCTGTACCACATGTGAAAAGGACATGGGTGGCTTAATGAATCACAAGTTGATAGGAACCAGTAATGCAATGTAGTCACTAAAAAGATTCTTGGGCTGCATTAAGAGAAGGGAAAGAATTCTGCACTATTTTGCATTAGTAAGAAAGTATTTGGAAACTTTGTCCTGCTTTGGGTACTGCATGTTAAGAATGGTGATATTGGCATGTCCAGGAAAAGGGCAACCAAGATGGCGAGGTGTCTGGAAACCTATGAGAAACTGTTGATAGAACTGGGTATGTTTAGCCTGGAGAAGAGAAGGTTAAGAGGAGCTGTGATAGTGATCTTCAAATATCTGTTGTGTGGAAGATGGAGAAGCCTTGTTCTTCGTGGTCTCTGTGCCTCACACATAAGCTGTGTGCCTGCCCAGACCCTGTTGTCAGGAAGATTTTCCTAGCTAAGGGAGCCCTGATCCCTCTCCCCTCTCTGTAAATAGGAGGGGCTTCTGCCATTTTTCCGAGCCCTTTGCTGGTTGCCAATTTGGGTACATCAGGTTTCTAGCTCTCTGTTTTTTTCTAGCATCTTTCCTTTACTTCTAGAACCTTCTTAATTCTAAAATTCCTTTTATCTTGCTGTCTTCTTCAGTTTTACACACTCTTTAAAATAACCTTTACCCCCACAAAAATAAAAATAAAACCCCCTGTATCATCTCTCTTTGTCACTCACTTCATCTTTCCTCTATTTTCTCCCCAATGGCCCTCAAGATGGCTTTATAGAAACACATTTGTTGCAGCACACAAATGCCCTCTATGGATGGCTGTTCTCTGTGCCTTTCCTATCTTGGTGAAAATCATCAGGTGGGGTCTTGCCCCCACTACTGGGCTTTCACCCAGCAAGCCTACAAAAATCAAGCCGGGCACCTGAAAACCAAGTTGTGGACCTACAAGACTGTGGGCATCTGCCTCATCTCACGCCCCATTGGCAGCTGCTGGTGCTCCACCAGTCATCTTCTCAGTGCTGAAAAAATCCAGATGTGTACCCAATGATAAGAGGCCTTAAAAGAAGGAGAAAGGGATCTACAAGACAGTGGATGATCCTAAGAAGGTGACAAAGAAGGGCAAAGAGAAGCCCTCAAAACAGACCCAATTCCACTCACCAACAACAAAGTTGGTGCACACCCACAGGCCTGTTCCATCAGTGGCCCACACTACCATCTCTATGCTGGTCCCACAATTGGTCCCACTGCTGATCCCAGCACCAGTCCTGATGCCTGCTCCTTCATCAGGCTTGATGGGACAAGCAGAACTGACTCTGAGGGGAGATATGGGACACACCTTCCTATACTCCAATCAGCCCACCACCTCTGCCTCTTCCTAACCAGCTCCTTGTGTTGGGACTGACAGCAACCCTTGACTCCAACTTATCCAGTTCTCTGACTGCCATACAGGAACCTACTCCCCAGCACCATCCCAGGGTTCCACTCATTGGCCAATAGAATGGCCCAAGCCCTCACCACCTGCCTGGGACTGAGAAGCTTATTGGACTTCACCACAAATGGGCCCATATTATCCTGGCTACACCTGGGAATGAAGGCCATCCGAACCATGTTAGCAGTGGAACCATTGCCTCAAGAGGTGGTGAGTTCTCTTTCATTGAAGGTATTTAAGCAGAGGCTGGGTTGCCATCTGTCATGGATGTTATAGCTACAGCATGAAGTGTGGAGCTTGCACTGAGCAGGGGGCTGGTCTTGAAGGTTTTCTCCAACTCTGATCCTAGAAGATCCCTTTCTGCATGATAGGATAGATATTTCTTAGAAAAGCACACTCCTTACTGAATTTTTGTGGAAAGTGGGTTCATTTTTAACATTTGAAATTAAAGAAGCTGTTTATCCCTCTCTTGCACTCCATTATACAGTGCCTGACCCAGCTTCTAATAGGTTAAGGGCAGTTGAATTAGCAAGAGTGGGTCTCTTGAGTTGATCACATCAGCAAGTAAACCTGACTTGGATCCCAGGAGCTATCACTTTGCACATTAATGCAAGCAGGCTTTCTTAGCTGCTGCCGTTATATGCCATCAAGTCACCCCTGGCTTACGGTGTCTCCAGAATGAATGACACCCCTGCTCAGCTGTTGTAAATTGAAGACTGTAGCATCCTTTATGGCGCTGATCCATCTCATAGTTGGCCTTTCTCTTCTTCCTAGAATTATTGCCTTCTTCAAGGAGTCTTCCCTTCTCTTGTTGTGTCTGAAGTACAACAGCATCACTTTCATCATGTTTTGCTTCCTGGCTTGATTTGATCTAGGACCTGGTTGTTAACTTTGTCAGTCCGGCCTGTTCACAAAGGTCTTTGTGAACCATGTTTCACTGTCCAGTTTGCGATACCTTCTGATTGGGAATAGGAAAGTATGATCTTGGCCTTGATTGCCAGTGAAATGTCCCTACACATGACAATCTTTTCCGGTTCCTTCATTGTTGCCTCTCCACATCCCAGTTTCTTCCATTTTTTGGCTGCAGTCTCCCTTTGAATGGATGATTGAGGCAAGTTATGAAGAATCTTTCACAATTTTGATTATTTCATTATTAACAGTAAAGTTCTGGAATTCTTCTGTGGGCATGATTTTTGTTTCCCTCATATTCAGCTGTAGTCCTGCTTTCTTAATTTTCTTTTTCCACTTTCATCAGGATTTTTTGCAAGGTGTGATGCACTTAAGTACTCAGTCAACATTATACTTACAGTGTGAGGAAGAAATACTATACCTATAATGGGCAGATTTGAACCATAGCTGTGCAGTGGATAGCTGTGCATCCACTAATTGACCAGGTTTGTATTATTACTGCAGCCCACTGTGGCTTAAATAAATGGTGGTGCACGCTGGCTTCCATTTTAAATATGGAAGCTGTGGCAGGTGTGCCGGTGCTGTGGTTTGTCATGTCATATGAACCTGGGCATTGTGGGTTACACAAGGGTTAACCAACTCTAGAATAACCCATGGATTACTATACAGTTGATTAACACTCCCATAATAGACACCATCTGGATTCACAAGACTCAACAATCCATCTGCCTATCATAGCTTGAATGTTCAAAATGGCAGCCAGCATGTGCCATGAAGCCCCATGGGGTGATGGACACACAGTGGGTTAGCATCACATGCAAGTACTCCCACTGTTATCTGATAGTTGGAGGTTCTTACACAATAAATACTCATATATGAATTGGGTCTTCAGAACAAGTGGCGGGCATTTTTTCTCTACCTGCAAAAGCTGAGATGCAGATCTTCTGCCAGCTAAGATTACGGATGCAGTGCAGGAATGAAATGTTGGGAGGAATCTCTTTCCCATGTTTTGCCCAAAGAGAAGATAAAAATTCCCTGGGGGGAAAAATGTGTTCACCTTTTTTAGATTCTTCCAGTCCTTCCTGTCTCTCATCCATCTGCTGGTGAAGGTGCAGTTACAACAGTGTGTACTTTTCTCTTCCTTCCTCCTCTCCCTCTCTCTCTCTCCCTCCCTCTCCCTCCCTCCCTCTCCCTCTCGGTTTCTTGTTAATTAGACTGGGAGCCTGTGGTCAAGTGTTTTATCTGTTAATTCTGGTACAGCAAACATAACATTTAGGTGCTTCAAAAATGCTAACGATAACAGCAGCCGATAGAAACTAAGCATGCTGAAAAGGCTTGTGTGATGGGGGAAACAGCCATTGGGGGACTTTTATGGTGAAAGTGGCATATTTCACTCTGGCACAACAGTGCTTTTTCCCATGCATGTTTTTGTCACACCATGCATGGTAAGGTAGTGGTGGATTTTGACTTGTAGGTACTTGGACAGTCCTCCATAGCCATCTCCTGTGAGAGTCCAGAAATGCAGGCATCTGCCTTGAAACATATCAGCAAAGCAGTTCTATTCCAGCTAGCTTTCATCTTCACCAGGAACAGGTCTTTTGTGAAGCTAATGGGTCTTAATTGCCCATTCAAAACTACCCCCCCCCATATTTTGCATTACAACAAGGATAGCTCTCAACAATGTATTGTTTGCAGTGAAGACTGCAGTTAAGTTCCAAGGGAACATGGAATTCTGAGGTTTGTGGCAGATGAACTTCAGTATCCCTGCTAGGCAGATTCTGCTGGTGCTTTGATCCCATGAGCCCTGTTTTGTAATGACATGAAAATGTGCCTTTAAAACCAGCAAAGGTATTGGTGGTGAATGTAGCTTCCTATGCTGATGGAATTTATTCTCTGTATTGGATAGGTTTCCTCTCCATCTGCTCCCCAAATATAAGGCTATTAAATTTGATCTGAGATAAACACAGTGGCTCAGATTTTCTTTTCTCCATAGCAGCTTTTTTTCCTTTTTTGGATTAACTTTTGTGCTTGAGGTCACCTTGTTACGTGTCTGACTGAATCCCTTGTGATGTTCTATGCCTTGGAAGAGGTAAGGGAAATAACACTGCTGGCGATCAAAAGAGATGGAAATGTAGCAGAAGCACCTACGGAAGAGGGGGTGGGGCTGCGGCAGTGCATAATTTATCATTTCCCAGGGAGCGCTTTTGACTGCGATGCTGTGTCGATTTGCAGATCCACATGGGGCTGAGGACAGGGGTGGGGGGAACTTCTGTGTTGCCTTTCAAGTTTGTCCTTGTTTGGTTTTGAAGCTTCATCTCTCTCTTTCTCTCTCCTCCCACACTTCTCCCCATAGGTTAAAAGAGGGAAGAAAACATGTTTGGCTTCCACAAACCCAAGATGTACCGGAGTTTAGAGGGTTGCTGTATTTGCAGAGCCAAGTCTTCCAGTTCCCGTTTCACAGATAGCAAGCGTTATGAAAAGGATTTCCAGAACTGCTTTGGGTAAGAGTTTCTGCCATTCCTCTATATAGCCCTATTTAGAGAGGGTTATACAAACCTCAGTGGGTTTGTGTATGTGGGGAGATGAGTCCTGCATGCTGACCTGTCCCCAGTTGCAATGCCCCCATCAATCTTAATACACCGATCCCTGCGCATTTGACAAAGTCATAGAAAGGAGCTGGTGTACATTCTGTTGCACAAGCACCAGCTCTCCTTCAGACTTTCCACTGAACGCAGGAGGTTGGGACGGCGAGGACAAGAGACATAGCTCCTTTCCATGTATGCGCCTGCATGTTTGTTTGCAGTATTTATATTCTGTTTGCAGTATTTATATTCGGCTCCTCTGCCAAAAAGGGCTCTCAAAACAGCTTATATATAATCTGTGCGCTCCCTGCCTGCAGGTTTGCAGTCTAAAAAGGCATGATGCGCAAGCAGAGGGTTGATGGGGAGGGGAAGAGGAAGAGGAAAACTAGAGCAGTCTTTCAGGTGATCCTGCTTGGCACATCTTGCTGGAGCCACTGGATCCTGGAAAGGGTTTCTGAGGGAGGGTGGATAGAGTCTGTATCTTAACAGGGAAGGGCAAGGCCGAGCAGTTGCCTAACAAGCTTTTTCAGCATGCAGCTCACCATTCTTCCACAATTATTTTTGTTGCACTCAGTGGCTTGAGATCCCTCGAGGTAGGACACTTCGCCCCTTCCAGAAGTGACAAGTGTCTTCCTTTGTAGACATGTGTGTGCTTTTTTTTTTTTTTTTTTGACACGGCTTATTTCTGGCATAGCTAAGCATTGACGCTGTGGGCTTCTCTTCACAGCCTGCATGAGGCCCGCTCAGGAGATATTTGCAACGCATGTGTGCTTTTGGTGAAAAGATGGAAGAAGCTGCCAGCAGGATCAAAAAAAAATTGGAATCACGTGAGTTCAAGCATACTTGCACTGTAAGCCTAAAGAGGTTTGATAGGTATTCCCAGGGATTCCCGGAAACAGTAGCTTGGTGGCAGTAGTGGGTGTCAGAAGAATCGCTCACTGAGTATTCTCAGCATGCTAATCAGACTGCCGTTCCCAGGATCCTCTGGAGAAGTCGTTGCAGTTAACTGGGCAGCAAAAAAAATACATGATCCACGCATGTTCCAGTTGCTTTGAATCCTGTGCCCATTGCCATTAGAATGCTTATTTCTTACCCAGGGGGCAAATTTCTGCATGATCACCATGATGTTTCTGTGCAGGAAATGGCAAGTATGCTGTCATGTCCATCAAACACACATGTTGTAAAATTATTTATATATTCCCGTTTATAAAGTGGTGAAACTCGGGCTGGCAGCACCTTTCCACCAAGTGGCTAAAATGAACACAGGCGCATTCACCACACCCGGCGCTGGCTCTGTGTCGGCCGCAACATGCCAAGGCTCTTTCATGCCATGTGGAAGGCATGTGCTCGGACTGCCTCTGCAAGCAGCTCCAACCCTGTTCCAGGGCTCCTGTGCTGCTACAGCAGTGTCAGGCAGGGCCAAGGAACATGCGCCTTTGCAGTGCCCACGGCCCTTTTCCAGGGGCTGGTGGTACTTGTTTCTCTGAGACCATTGAGCCTGCTGTGGTCCTTCACCCAAACAGAGCCACTTCCGTCATTACAGGACGTGCGCATGTGTTTTGCGCTTTCAGCTGTAATACGTCGATACATATCCTGTCCCCTTGGCAGGAGCACATGCATCTTCTTTTATGGGAACCTGTTTGCTTATTTACTTTTTGCCCTGCCCTTTCTCCAAGATGTGGAAGAATATAAATGATTCACTCCCTCCCTGCTTATCCTCACAGCAGCCCTATAAAGGAGACCTAGGGTGAGAGGATGACCAGACCTAGGTCATCCAGTGGGTTTTATGATGAAGTGGAGCTTTGAACTTAGGTCTCTTTGGTCTTTGGTGCACCAACCACATAACATTTCTTTCTCACACACATTGCCATGGAGATATGAAAAAAAGAAATGAGAATCAAAGTGCATTGCTCTTTGCAAAGTACACAAGGACCTTCCAATATGGTCCTTCGCTTTCTTACCTTTTCTTAGATTTTTTGGCAAAGGAGACTGTTTATTCCAACTTTTTCCTGATGCTGGACTCAAGGCAGTTGGTGCAGCATTCCTGGTCAGCCTCGCATCCAGGTGCTGACTAGTGCAAGCCTGCTAAGTTTTCCACATCATGTGCCATCAGGTCATGTCCTGGGCTCCACCTCCCACATGCGGGAGGGCAAACCTGCCAATGCTTGAGTGATTTTCTGGGTCGCTGGGTCTTGCTCCAGGAACGCAAAGCTTTGGGAAGGTCCTGTGGAAACCTCGCTGCACTTACCTTAATTTTCAGGCAAGCCTTCTTAGACGTGTCCACTCTCCCTCAGCCTTTTCAGGCTGCATGTCTTGCATTGCCCTAAACAGCGATGTTGTAGGTTAGATCTCCTGGGCGTTCCCTTGTTAGCAGTCACTGGGCGTACAACATGCCCGGAACTGCTGGGCACGATGATTCTTCCATTAGCTGTCTCCACCGTTGTGATTCATAAAGCACTGGCATAGGCTCGATGCATGCTGTGTGGGGAACGTGTCTCGTATAAGTCACAGCAAGCCTGGTTTGCTTGTGCCGCGTTTATACTCTCTCAGGCAAGAGAGGAGGCGGTCCACTTGTGGCTGGACTGGAGCGCTTCTGGCTGCAGGTAGAGGCTTATGCAATTGCGCACTCCATCCTGGAGAGACTGGCACGTCCTCTTGACCCTGGTGACCTGCAAAAGGGTGGGGTTGCAGCTCCTGTAATCCCAAGTCCGCTTGCCCTGTGATGGATGGCAGTTGGAGAGCAAAGCACTTAGATGGCATAGGCCAAGCGTTGCAGCCCATCATTCAGTCATGCAAGTCATGTTGGGCCATCCAGATACAGATGACAGAAGTGGCCGTACCACTTCATTTGCTATTCTGTGAGATCTAGGCCTTCCTCCCCCTATAATTTTTTGTTCATTTTGCAGAAAGCTTACAGAGTACAGAACTCAGTTTTTCTTGTTTTGGATGCAGAATTTGGATTGTCATTGTGCAGAATTTATCTCTTTCTGTGTATAAAAGACTTCTGGGAAACTTTTGGATATGCAGATATTTAAGTGCAATTGATTATATAGTAATTTTCTCATTAAAAAGAAACCAAAAAACCTTTTGCCAGTTTGAAAAAAGGTGACTTTCAACTGGCCAAATACCATGGCTGCATCTGGAGGATGGGATTAGTGGGATAAGCTCTCCCATGTGGTGATGGTCTTTATTTTTGTATTATTTTTCCCCAGGTTGTGGATGCGAGGGCTGGACCAAGTCTGAAAACTACCTTGAAGCCAAAGAAGATGAAAACTCTACCTGGCAGCAGGATGAAGAGCAATCAAATAAGCAAATTGCAGAAGGAGTTGAAGCGACATAGTATGTTGACGCTGCTTAAGCTCTACTCAGGTGTTAGGAAAATGAGGACAATAAAGACAGGAGGAGGGGAGCACCCCAGTCCATCCATTTGCTCCTGTGTGCAAGGGATCTGCAACATGATTTCCTAAGTCTTCTGGCCCATGTGGAAAGTTCCAATGTGTATAGGAGGCCCTCCCTTTCCCAGGTCACCCTCAATCTACAAAAGTGACAATTGAGAGTGCAAAGTTAGTGTGTGCCCCTGCTCCTCACCTGTTCACTGTCACCATTTTTCTAACACCTGAATAGGACTCTGTTTGTCCTTTCATGAGTATTTAGCTTTATCTGGTGTTGTAACTCTTGAATCTGAATGGTTGCACTATGCATTTTGAAGGAGAACCTTTGGTATATAAGAATAGTATGAAATACTGAAAATATTGTCCCCTACCTCTGAGAAGCTGGCTTTAAGCCTTACCACTGACAGCTAGTTTTCAGATCCATATAGTATGTTTTTTTTCTAGCTTGGTTTTGCACTTGAGTGAAGGAAAGTTGCTGGAGGACATGTAAACATCAGTGTTGCCTGCACTATTCTAATAGCTTGTGCTATTCCAGCATAAAATTGAACATTCATCCAGACAACAAAATCTGGCTTAAACTGGTCACCTAAAGGTTGGGTAGGCAGACATATATTTTCTCAAGCCACTCTGTATATTATATTCTATGTATTATACACAGGTCCAAAATAAGTAGTTCCAGTTTGCTGGTCCCTATATAATTGCATATACATAATCTTGTTTCCAAGGAATTCATAGTGTTTTGTGCAAGTAAAAATCAGATAACCCTACATTTGCTGCTACTCTTAGTCTGGAGGAAAGACATAGTAAAATAGGATTAAAATAGGAAAATTGCAGTAGCATTATTACTTGAAGGTTGCATAAAACATACAACAGCAAGATTTGGAGTAACAAATTAGGAGATGTGTAAGAGCACCAATACTTATGCAATGACTCCCTTTGTGGTCTCAGCATTCAGTAAGATTCCTTATGTATTTTACGCTGCAATCATATGGAGACTTTTGATAGTTTTGATTGCTTTTTAATGAAAGCAGAGAACCTGCTTTTCAAAGCCAGGTGCATTTCAAAGTCCTGGGACTTCTGGGATAAAAGCAGGTGTGTATGCATGTATGTGTGTGCATGCAAAAATCCGGTTTAATGCTATTACATTCTCCTTTTGTAGATTCGGATGCCCACAGTACCACTTCAAGTGCCTCTCCAGCCCACTCACCCTGCTACAGCAACCAGTCTGATGATGGCTCAGACACCGAGATGACTCCTGGCTCCAGCCGCACACCTGTCTTCTCCTTCCTAGATCTTACTTACTGGAAAAGGTGAAGGGAAAAGTCCTAGCTCCAATCCGTGCACCCCCTAATTCATCATATCAGTCAATGTTACTTTGGAAGCCCAAGTAGGAAGCCTAGTGCTGAGCAAAGATGCATTTTCAAAGTCTTTTAGAAACAGCATTTAAACGTTGCAAAAGAGGCTGGAGGTCTTCCATTTACACAAAGGAGACAGTAGACAGGAGATGGGAAGCACAAGAGACAATGTTAAGAATGCACATAATTGCAATTAAATGTAATCTTTAATTACTAGGCTCTTTTGCTTCCGTTTCCTTAGCAATTAGGCAGCACTTGCAGACAGCTGATGACTCAACATGGTGTTTAAGGATGGAGATAAAGTAACTTGATAGCATGCAGGGCATGAAATGGGTCACAAGGCCTGTTGTTGTCTTGAGAGCAAAGCCACAGCCTCGGGCTGGTTCTCCCCCCTCTCCACATTAATCTCTCCCAGAGAAATGATGGATGCTGTGACAATAGCCAGCACTTTATTGATCTATAAGTACCCCTCTTGCTTTAAATCTAGCTGAGTTGTTGCATACTTGGTGTCAGCTGAAGCAGTGACAGTGCCTAGAAGAGACGGCTGCTCTATAATTTGAGCTGGGATCAGGAAGTCTGGGAATGCATAATTAATTTATGGAGTTTGCAGACACAAGATGTGGTGTGAGTAGCTTTGATGGCTTGGAAGGGGGATTAGGCAAAGGCGAGGAAGAGAGGATGGGCACTCTGTAGCTGGCTGCTAGACCTGGAGGTGAAGTTGCACCTTCATGCTCAGAGGCAGTGCGCCCCCAAATGGTGGCTGTGGGGAAGCAACATCAGAAGAGGCTTCTGTAGGACGAGGAAGGGGGATAAGATTTCCTCCTAGGGTGAACTTCTTTGTTACGTGGATCCCCCAGAAGAGAATCCCTGATGGGCAGCCACCCGTCAGGATGGAACTCCCAACACACCTCCTGTGTAGTTTGTCTAGCTGGTTGGAGAGTTTCTGAGCCCTGTTGCCAACAATTTCTTACTTCAGCCCAGGCTTTGGACAAAAGAAACATGAAAGCTTCTTTAGACTTTTCTCCCCCAAAGCCCTTAAAAAAGAACCTTAAAACACAAGCAGCAGCTTTGTAGCTACAAAGTCTTTCACAAGAAGAATTCACTAAGGGAACTTAAAAACTTTGAAAAAGCTAAATATCCAAATACAAAAAAGAGTTCATTTGTGGAGAGGGGACAAGAGGGCAACAGGGAAGGGAGCAATTATGCACAGGTGCAGAATTCTAATAAAATTCAAAACGTCTGACTTACCTCTGGAGTTATTGTAGAGAGAATGATCTAAGAATGAGAGAGCATCTGGCTTTGAGTTAGAAAACACAGGACAGCTCCAAAAGGATGGAGGAGTTATTTTTATGGGAATCTCTGCTCAGTAAAGCCTGGTCCTTTGCAGAGACTGAGGACTGCTCAGTCCAATATCATGAAAGCCTCCATTTCTGGTTTCAGCAGTCTGCTGAGCAAATCAGGTCATTGCCTTGTGGCCAGACCCATCTGTTTAATGATGGTTGTTTTTTTATGTATATATTTAAAACATCACCCTGTCTTTACCTGAGTCAGGTCTCAAGACTGTTCACTAATCAATAATAGTGCATTAAAGTGCAATATAAACATAAAATTCCAATTTAAAAACCATCAACCCTTAAAGTACTGGGAAAATTAAAAAGTTTAGACCTGCTGCTGAAAAGAATAAAGTGTTGGCACCAGTTGCACCATTCTGGAGAGCAAATTTCAAAGGCAAATTCCAGATTCCAATTTGCAACTCAAAAAGCTCATGATGGTTGGAACCAGTCATTCCCTTCAAGAAAAAGGTTATGGTGTCATTCACTTTTGCATTTTTGGAGGATCACAGATCACCTAGCAAGATGCTAGCTGACCAGATGTGGCACTGTGACCTTATATCAAAAGTGGGGCTTTGTCCCAGCCTCGTACTGCGCCTGTGGGCCCCCTGAAAGCATGTGGGCGGGGGGGGGAGACACTGGACTAAATGCATTTTGTCTGGTCCGTCTGTACTGTTCTTTGGCAAGGAATTGGGGACCTGTTCAGACACACTTGCAAACGTAGCCTTCAGCAAATCCTAGACATTCCTGGGCCGCACCACCTGTTTTCTGTGCAGGATTCAAGACTGTCGCTGTGAGTGTTGTGATGGGCAGTGTCGAGCTGCAGCCTTGTAACAAGCAGTTCTCTCTTCACCGTGGCAAGAGCACCAACAGCTTGATCTTCAGCTGCCAGATGAGGCCTAGATGATGTCAGTAGCCAGAGCTGCTGGTGCCTTGTACCAGCTTTTGCTAGTGGCTCAGCTGTGCCCTCTAGCAAGGGACTATCTGGTTTAAGTAATCTCTTCTCTTGTAGTCTCTAAACTAGATTCCTGCATCGTCCCTTACATGGGGCTGTCCAGGAAGACTGTTCAAAGCTGCAGCATGTAACAGGGCAGCTTGACAGAAGGGGACAGAAGGTCTGACCATGCAACACCAGTTGTAGCCTGCTTGCATTGGCTGCCTCCATGTTTCTGAGCCCGATTCAAGGTGTTGGTTTGGTGTTGAAATGCCTCTCCCAGCTGCAGGCTACCCAGACACTGATCAACAGCTGAGCTCTTCCTCTGAGGGCAGCAGCAAGCGGGAGGGCCATCTAAGTGGCAGCTCTGGCCTATGGAATGACCTTCCCAACAAGGCCTGCCTGGCACAAACTCCTTAGTGCTTCCTTCAGTGCTGGTTCGGGGAGCCTTGTAGGTCAAGGCTTTTAAAGACAGACATCCAAGGATATTTAATGGCTTGTTGGGAGCACCCATATCAGGTGTCTTTTGAAAATAAGTTCAAGGAAGGAGGGTAAGAGGTTAAATTAAGTCATAAAATAATGGTCATGCCAGAGATGAGGTGATGGCTTTGAACTGGGTGAGTCTGGCGTGCAGAACAAGTGACCCCTTAGGCTTTCCCAAGCAGGAATAGAACCTTCCTTTTGGTGTCAAAAGCAGCACAGTATTGGGGTGTCAGGCAGCATTCCAGCAGGGAGGATTTATGATGAGTATTCCTGAAATTCTTCTGTGGGCTGTGTTAAAAGACCTTGTGAGCAGCTTTGAGATCACTTTGATCAGTAGTCAGAATATAAATCTTTTCATTAAATGAACAGAGACCTGTGGAAACGTCATTTTGGTTTGATCCCAACCAAAGCATAAACTCATTAGTAGGAAGTTGAACAGGCCTTTTATTTTCTCCTGCCAAGTGCTGGAGAGAAATTTTGACCTGTCCAGCCTGGCTCCTGTCAAATTAACAACATATAGGCAATATGTAGCCAGGGAGGGACAGTATGGGACCAGAGCCCCCTCACTGTTCCGAGGCAGTGAGCAAGTTTATCCTAGAAGCCCTGAATTAGCAATCTGACCCACTCCAGCCTATGAAACAGAGATCCCTTGCTTCTGCCCCTGAAGAGCCCCCTTTTTCCAAAATGGGTGGTGGCACTGCAACATTGCCAGATATTCCACAGATGCCAAGTTCGACACATGAAATGGAACTGTGTTGTGATGTGACTAGTTATTTCTATAGTTATGCAACTTCAGCCATGTACAGCCAGACAGGACTTCTGCAGTGCTCTGCCTCTAAGGATGGTTCAGGAAATGCAGCTGGTACGAAATGTGGCCATCAGAATGCTGGATGGAGCTTGACAATCTGAGCACATTATCCTGGTCTTCTAACCACACAATTGTACATGTTTTCTTTCCAAACTTAGCTTAAGTTCTGGTATTGACTCAGTTCAGGATCTGGGTAGTTTAAGGAGTGCCTCTGCCAATATCAGACTGTCCCTGCTGTTACATCAGCTCCAGGAGACTTGTGTTCTGCCCTATAACTGTAGAAAAAGTAGCAGGTGAACACTAGTGGCACGGCATCTTTGATGATAACCATCCTCCTTGTTTGCAGATTGCCCGTGAAAACTTGTATTTGCATGGCCGGCTGAGGTATAATGTGTTTGCTATCTTTACTGTTCTTACACTGCTAATTCGCTGCAGATTTATTCTTTTTCATGAATACATTTTGTATGCTCTATCAAGGGAATCTCATATAGAAAGCAGTCTGGTTGAAATAACTTGTGTTTGTTTTCTCTTGAAGGCAAAAAGTTTGCTGTGGAATTATTTACAAGGGTCGCTTTGGAGAAGTCCTTATAGACACTCATCTCTTCAAACCGTGCTGTAGTAACAAGAAGTCTGCAAACGAGAAGCCTGAAGCACAAGGCCTCCAGTCCCCAACCATCTCCAACCAGGAGGAGTGGTGATTTCCAGAGTCAGCTGCAGAAAGTGTAAATGGAACCTTTTCTGTCTCTCTCAAATGGCTTGAAAGTAACTTTTCCTCACTTTGGAAGCCTATTATGCTGCCAAAAGACTTTTTTTCCCTTGAACTTTTAAAGGATTTTTTTACTGCTTCAGTTCCACTAATTCAGAAACCTGTTTGTATCTCTTCAGAAAATTACTGTAAATAATATTTAAGAGGCTCTAAACTATGTAGCTGAGCTGAAAGCTGCTGTTCAGCCCCTTCTGCCCATGCCACTTTTCCTCAAGCAGACCAAGGAGGTTGGTAAAGTGCTATGTTTGGCATTAGGACAACAACCCCCCCACCACCCAAAAGCCAGTTAGTTTTCTCCTCCTCCTGAGGAAAATAGCAGTTATTATCTAAGGCATGGACTTGGGTAGTTACGTTTTGTACACGGGGTCCCTGCTATGTATATGTTGTAAAGTGTGGGGGCTCTTAGTTCTTACTACTGATGGTTCAACCACAATAAGTTGTTTTGCTTTTGCCTGTTTTGGACCATGAGGTCAAGGACTGAGGGACTGGCCTCACAGAATTACATGGGTGAAGGGACAGAGAACACAACCAGCCTCGGGCAAAGTTAAGTTCTGAGGCTGGCCATACTAAGAGGGAAGACTTCCCAATGGACCAAGTGATCTTTATTTTTCCACTGTGCAGCCCATGCTTGAGTTACGAATTTGGTGGACTTCATGGTATTGTAAAACAACCTTTTCAAATGTATTGTTGGCTGCTTGTGTTGAGTTATATTGGGTTGTGGTGAACACACAATACTAGGAGAAATCCTTGTGCCATCGGCTGCAATCCCATACCACTTCACCTGTAAGCCCCACTGAAGGTTATGTCTAAATAGGTATGTATAGGAGGGCAGTTTAACATTGCCTTCCTGTTCATACTAGTCAAGAAGTAAGACCCATTGAATTTAATGGGCCTTACTCCTGGGTAATTATGTCAAAGATAGCCTGTGTGTGTGATTTTTCACTAATCTCATCCAGTTGTACAGTCTCTCAGATAAAAATGGAATAAAAATTAAGTATTGAAACTGAAAAACTGCAGCACAGAGTGGGAATGGCAGTCTGTCCAATGTTGGTTAGATTTTAGGTTCAGAGTAGCCCAGCTTGCACTCCCAATCCAGCTGTTGCACGAGATTAACATGTTGACAGAAAGCCATGATGGAAGCCATACTAACAAAGCTCAGGGTTATGGTTCCTCCTCTTTCCATTGGATTCTGCATCTTCACACTGTTCTGATAATATGGTTATGCATCTAAGGAAGGACGATCACAATAGCAGCTGCCCCCTTCCCACCTTCATTTTTAAGTTGTAATCTCAAGAGAAAGTGCTCTAGGTTAGCGTTGCCTCTGTTGGCAAAAGCTATCGTTTTTATTTCTGTAAATGTATGCATACAGAGTGGCAGCATTCTCTTTTTCTCTTTACCTCCTTCCAAATTTTAAAATAGAAATATAATTAATAACAATAGTTATAGCACCAACTTTTATGGTTGCCTTGTAAACAAGATGGTTTGCTAAATTAGCTAGATGCATACGGTGGCCCATGTTTACCAAGTAGTTACTGAATCACTTTTGCTGGTCCTTGATCCGAGCAGCTGCAGTTCACAAAGCCCCTCCAGTAGCTCTTTTTGTGTCTCCCAGAAGTGCCTTGAATCTCCCTGTACTTACTTCTCATATACCCAGCTTTCAGCACAGAGCTGCCCAGTTCTCTCTCCCATTCTCTGATAAAATGACGTCTTCCCTTCCTCCTAATCAGTGTCCCTTTTTGTACTTAATTAGATGTACTCAACAGTATCATTCCACAAATTCAGAGAAAGCCAAGCTCCACAGATGGTTTTTGTTGTAGTTAGGTGTTAGGGCCAGTATCCAAAAAACCGCCGCAAATGGCCAGTTCTACCCATTTCCATTCACAAGAGGTGCCCACTGCATAAAGCAGCTCCGTCGGCCAGCCCTGGTCTGCAGATGAACATTTTTGCTTATTTTGGGGCTTGCCCCTGTCGTGCTGAATCTTCATTCTACAAGGGACGGATGCCACTGGTGCAACCAATGCAGCAGGGCCGGCCACTTGTGCCACAGAAGAGCCGGGGGAGCAGCTGGTGTGGGAGCATCATTTGTAGCCCGTTGCACATCCACCTGTACAACCATTATATCCTTTGTGCTAATGGAATGACACGGATGGATGCAGCCCTGGGCACCCTAAACTTGACAAGCTTTCTTGAAGAAGGGGTCTGCTACTTTCTCCCTAGCACCCATGACAAATTGGGCCTCTCCTACTGTTCCAAGTTTCTTACCATGTTTTTCAGTCTAGGCTGCAAGAGAGGATGTGCTTTCTGGGGCATTGCCACTGTCAGTTTTGGTAAGGCTTTTTGCTGAAGTCAAGGCTTTGCAGAATCTTGCCAAACATAAACCTAAAATATTTGTTTTCAAATTGAGTCTGTCATTGCCCAAGGAAAAATTTCTGTTGGATGAAGCAAGTGTGTGCCTGCTTTCAGAGGCCTAAGGAAGTCAGTGAGTATGTTGCTGCTTTAGTTTGTATGACTTTTATCACTTCATTCAAATTGCATGAGAATTTCGACCTGTGTTCTGCAGTGCATTACTACAAACATGACTGGTTTCTTTCTTTTCCTTTTTTACACATTTTGTCCAATGATAGGAGATGTGACAGGACAAAATAAATCTGAAACACTGTCTTCCTACGTTACTTTTTAGGATTTCCTTTAATTGTTCTCCTACCTTCAACCCCACCCCCATTTGTAAATAGGAGAAATATTCTAAAGGGAGGATAAGATAGGTCTTTATTTGATACTGACTAGCCACGTGGAATTTTGCTCGTTTGGTAATCTCCAAAGGTTGCATCCAGCAGTCCTGGCAACTTTTCTGTGTCCTTACAGCTTACTCTTGCTTTAGGGAACAATCCAATGTCCATCATACTCAAAGCATTTAAGCGTCCATTTCACCCAGACCAAAACACCACCAAGGGAGAGGGAAAGAGGCAGAGGTGCTCTTTGGCTGTGACTGTAAGATCCGGCCTCCTCCCCTCCCTGCCTCTCAGCACATTCCTTTACCCTCTCCAAAGCAGGTTTTGCACCTTGGAGAGGCAGCCGGAAGTGCTGGGTTGGGCTGAGGCTCTGCATTTGGAGCCCCAGCTCCCAAGTAGCAAGACCTTTGAGCAGGAGACTCCAAATAATCCGTTGCTCTTTCAGATAATGCCAGGAGACCTTAAGATTGTACCCTCCTTTTTAAGGGGTCAATGGTTCTATGCTTTTACAGCTACAGTATGAAACAATGTTCTTTAATATGGATCATCTCTTCTATTTCTGTATTTATTTATTTATTACTACTACTACAACAGCAGACTGGTTTTTTCCTTTGCCTGCCTTCTCCTCCTCCTTCCTGACTAGTAACGCAAGACGAATTGTATGTAGTTATGCACTTTGTATTAATGTAGTAGAAATCTATGAAACCTGTTTTTATACTTTTTATATTGTTCATACACTTGTAATCCAAGCATTTTTTACTAGGGTAATGAATAAAAGTTTAGACTTATTTAGAAAAATAAGCACTCTTTCTTTTGTTTCTAAACATCTTTTGGCTTTCTTGAGCTGACCTCTGTGTGGGCGTCAGCTACAGAGGAGTGGCAATTGCAAGAAAGCCAAAGTGGGACTGTTTCTTTCTCCTCCTGGGCCTAGTGGCTGTCTGAACCAAGTAATCAGGCTTGTTTGGTGGGGGAGCAACAACCTTCAAGTAACAATAGCACAAGGTTAACCACACAGCAATCTTGTGAAATGAGTCTACATATTTTCTTATGGAGAAAAATAGGGTGAGAATGTAACTGCTAATATAATTAAATGCAGTCCAAAACATACTTACCTGGCAGGAAGTCCCATTCAACAGTATGGGACCTATTTCCAAGTAGACGTTCATAAGCCCACTTACCTGAAAGACTGACCTATTCAACTCACTGGGCCTGCACCGTTACCTAATAGCGTAGGGCTCACTGGCAAACTTTGAAGAAGGTAGATTTGGAAACCACAAAATGTTCTCCATAAGATGCATCTCCAGCATCTCTTTGCCTTTATTCATGCACAACGTCACTCCTGTTCACTAGCACTTTTGGCAGCTGCTTAAGCATATCTTCCAGCATTATTTTTCACTGCTTTTGCAATCACATTCCAGTCAGTGCAATGGCATCATAGTGTCAACCAGTCGTATTTAGCTGTGAGATGACGACATGAAGCTGAATGCCGGGGGGCAGGGATACTTTCTGAATGGGAAAACAGTTTCTGCCTATTTCTGTAGACCTACATTTTCAGCTTGTTGCAGAATGGGGGAGACATTTCATGTTCTGTGAACCATTCCTTCATTTCAGCTCAGTTCTAAAGTACTTGATATGCTACATCCTAGTCCACAGTTTCACCAGTGAAGTGTCTCCTTCACACTGTTACCTGGGAATTAACTAATAACAGAAAGAATCAATGATGCAGATTTTTTGTGGGGGAAATGAGTCTCTGTTGCAAACCAAGAGAACTGGACTAGGAGAAAAGGGTAGAATAGCAAAGGAGAATTGTGGAAGGAATACTTTAGTAAATGGATAAGCAATCCAGTGCCCTTGCTTTTTTATGTTGGTTAGGGCTGATGGGAGTTGTAGACCAAAACATCTGAGGCTTACCCCAATAGATCAGTGGTAAATATTGCTTACCCATGATCTATTGGGATTAATTACAACCTGGCTTAACAGTTTTGCCACAGATTTATATTGGTTGATGCATAAGATCGTATGAAAATGACCAGATCTAAAATCCATCTGGTCGCAATGTTCTGTTCCCAAGTGTAGCTTCTCTTTATGCTACTGGGGTGCTGTTTGCCCTCAGCAACTTGCATTCAAAGAGGCCAGTTGGACCTGGAGCAAAATTCTGCAGTGTAGAATACACCAGTTTAGTGAGCTGGGGTGCCACTTTAAGAAGCTCCAATGCATTTCCTCTAACCCTAAACCCCCCCCCCCAGATTCTCATGACCCCAACAGGCACTCTGCATTCAGTGTCCTCTCAACACCCACCATTGCCTTGAGGCTGTTTTAGAGCCATCCCTACCCTTAGGAACTGTGTCCTAAACTAGGTACTTTTCTTGGTACTTTTAGGTGCTTGACTGTTCAGTCGTATCGGGAATGAGCAAAAGTCATACACATATATGGGAGAAACATGAGTTGGAAGGTCACACCCACTTCACTGCATGTAAAATAATTTAGTATATACGTAGCTGCTTAGGTTGAATTCTGCAAATGTATTTTGACATATTTACTATCCAGTTTGAAAACATGACTTATCCCTTCAAAATATTTTATGCAAATAGTTTAAAATGATTTGGTATTACTTACTTATCTATTTTATCACATTTGTATGCACCCCACAGGCAAAGGCTCTGGGTGGTTCACAGTGCGCCTCCCTCCCTCCCCCTCATGTGTGTGTAAAAATTACAGATAAAAATAAATAACAATAACAAACCATAAAACAGTAAAATTAAAATACAATATAAATACAACAATATGAATAGGACATTATATGTATTGAAGTACATGTAAGGCATTCATGAATTTATTGTGGAGTTGCTTTGGCTCATTCACTCACATTTTATGGGGGAGCCACACCATGTAATCCAATGTTTACAGTGATATTTACTAGAAAATTTTTCTTACTAGAGAATGTTTCCCCTTTTTTCCCCTAAGTATGGAAGGGTAATAATAAAGTTTGGGGTTGGCCCAACATGCTACAGCTTCTCATGGGTTTAAATAACACATGACAAGTTGCAGTGCCAGGTTGTATATACAACCGTTGGGCATTGTCATTTTGTGCAAACTTAGCAAGCATGGGTTATGAAAGTATTAAACATAACTATAAAATCCACCATGGGTTGGACAAGGGTTGTTTAGCTCCTGCATAATCTGTGCTTACTGGGTTTGCACAAAAAAACCAACCTGAGTGGAGGCTGAATATTCTGAATGGGCAGCTGTACACACCACAGTTTCACAATGTGGATTGTTTTGTCATGCAAACAGACAAACTCTACTGCTACTCCTTCCCCCTTTTTAAGAGATGCAGTTTTGACATGATCACTAACCTAACAGGGACATGAATTATAGTGCAGCACACATTCTGCATAACTGTTGCAACCAGTGCAATGCTTAATCACTTATTTAAAAAAGACAAGTAGCATGCTTCTCCATTTTTAAAAATAGTGAAGTGTCACTTAAATGAAAGAGCTGTATCTCTCTAATGAAGGATCTACTTCTTTAATGATGGTGGAGAAACCCCTTTCAGGCATTGCCATTTTAGCAAGGTGGTTAATGGTGGTGACCAGAGAAAGGGCTCGTTCCCACCATTTTTCAAGAATAACATTTAGAAGTATTAATGTTATGCCCCATAACAGCTTTTTAAAATAGTTTTTAAATGCCCTTTCTAGTCACTGCTGTTAACTGTCCTGGTAGAATGGTAGTGAATGTTGGGTTTTTCCTCATTGTGTGTACCTGAGTGATAGGGTACTCCAACAAACTCGCCTCCTTCCAGAAATTTTTGTGCTGCCCCCAAAATCTGGATTGCCTTTGCACAAGCTGTTGTGCTCATGACTCTGTTTCTTCGTTATTTTGCACTTAATTTAAAACATTCCAGAGTATTCCTTTTCAAACTGTGGTATTATTTAATTTACCCAGGTGTGTTTCTCAAGTCTGGAAAAACGTGCACAGACATCAAAACAGGTAAAAAGATTTATTTCAAAATAAATGCAGACAGATAATTGAATGGCTCTTTAGCTGCTTTGATAGAGCCCTTGTCATAAGCCCTGGCTGGAGGAATTACAGCTCAGCCCTGGCCTTCCAAGGAGACCTGGGTAGTGTTTTGCACAATCAAAACTAGCCACCATCAGGCTGTTGAAGGAGCATTGTTTACCCCTCCAATAAGCCATTCTGCCAGAGTATTTTGTCTTTCCAAGTGCCTACTTAGAGCTGTCTCATATGTGCAGTCTTGCCTTGTCAACTTCTTTGTATAGAACCTTTAATAGTGTCTCTTTGTACCTGAGCAGAATTGCTAGGGGCCACAAGAAGAAGTTACTTGTATAGGACATCCCCAAAGTCTCAGGTTTACTGTAATTATTGAATTGCCACAGCACAGTGTTCTGCATTCAGAAGTAACTTCCACCAAATTCAATCCAAGGTAAGTGTATAGTACTGCAGCCTGCATTCTTATCAAAAGTTTATTCAGAGTCAACAGCAATGCTTCCTTAGAAATTTTCCAAACCAAAATACAAGACTGTTGTGGTCACTGTTATCATTATTCCACTTTGTTGTATTTTAATAGTTGAAAACTATTAAACTGGGCACAGTATTCCAGATGAGGTCTGACTAGTGAGGAGTATAGAAGAACTACTACTACTCATGATTTGGAAGTAATTATATACTGCAAGGATAGATGTGGATTTAAAATCATCAATATTATATTGTTGGCATAACTTTTCATTTTATCTTCCTGTCTTTCAAGCCTTTAATTTTGGGCCTTGCCTTATTTTTGTAGCTAAGACTTTCCAATTTAAGAATGAATAAAAGTGGTGATAATGGATCTCATTGGCATGTTCCTTTATCCATTTTAAACCATTGGTTAATACTCCATTTATTAAAAACTCTGCATACCGTTTTGTATAAATTGCATGTATCTATTCCATGAATGTTGGTCTGCAGTTTAGATATTGGAGGGTTTTCAATAAAAAATCCAAGATAATAGATAATTCAAAATTCTAAAAGTCTGGTAGGGATATACAAAGACAGATGTTCCTTTCGATATCCTGGCCACAAGCCCTTTAGGGCTTTGTATGTTAGCATAAGCACTTTGAATTGTGACTGGGCAACAACAGGCAGCCAATCCTGTTGGCACAGAACCGGCATGATGTGCTCTCTAGGACTGGTCCTTGTTAACAGCCACACTGCTCTGTTTTGAATTAGCTGGAGCACTTGGCCCATTTTCAAAGGCAGCCCCACATAGAGTGCATTGTGCTAATCCAGGCAAAAGGTTACCAGTGCATGGATAACTGTGGCTAGGCTCCATTCATTCAAATAGGAATGTAGCTGAAAAATCAACCTAAGCTGATAGAAAGTGCTCCTGGCCACTGAGATCATCTGTGAGACAAATGACAACTCGGGCTCAGGGAGCACCCCAAGCTATAAACCTTGTCCTTTAGGGGAAGTGCAACCCCATCCAGGACAGGCTGAAAATTCCCCTTTTGGACAGATGGACTGCCCACCAGCAGCACCTCCATCTTGTCTGGATTGCGTTTAAACTTACCCTCATCCAGTCCATTACCAAGCCAAGACACCAGTTTAGAACAGTCACTGCCTCAGCTGGATTAGATGAAAGCAAGAATCAGAGTTGAGTATCATCAGCATATTGGTGACACCCCAGCCCAAACCTCCAGATGACCTCTCCCAGCAGTTTCGTGTAGATGTTAAAGAGCATGGGGGACAAAATGGAGCCCTGCGGGACTACATGGCTTGCAACAATCCCTCAGCTCCACCAACTGG